AAGCATTTTTTATATACAGGTATCGTGTTAGCTACTTTAGAAGTATTTAGCCCTCACACTAGCCTTACAGTCTAAAATTAATATATTTTATAGATGAGGAGACTGAAAGTTAGAGAGATTATATCATTTACCTAAGGAAGGCAGAGCTAGGACTCCATAGCAGGCTCTGTTGTAGAGCTTACTTCACTGCCTCCTGGTAAACCATCTTTCTGAGCATGGCGTAGAGCTAAATGATGACTGTGTTTTGAGACCTCTCCACTAAGAAGCTTCTCTGACCCCCTCACCTCTACCCGCTGGGTTAAGTGCCCCTGTGCTTTCCCACTTCTCTGGGCTGGCTTCCATCTTTGTGCTCATTACACAGAACTATAATTCTTGGTTTGCTTCTTTTTCTCTCCCACTGGACTGTGCTAGTTGGGTTGGGAATCATATTGTTGATTTCTGAGTCCAAAATAGGGTCTTTAATAGATGAGTGACCACAGGTAAATTTCCTAATGCCTCCAGACTTAGTTTTTATAAAATGGATATAATAATAGTAAAATCTGCATTAGTTAATGTAGATTTTTAAAGCTTAATCAGCATCTGGCACATAGTAATTGTTCAACAGGTAGTAGCTGCTGCTATTATTGTTATAACTGTTGAATAATATCTTGCGCTTTTCAGATCAAAAGGCTCTTAGTCCCATTGAATTTCTCTGCAGTACCACCATGATTTTTACTTCCATCATCCCCATCCAAAGCCAGTGAGTTAAGCTGAGGTGGAACACGCCTGCTTCTCGTTTCCTCTCTCAAAAAGGAACACCTTGACAATGGAGCCTAGAGTGCTTGCTCTCCTTTGAGCTTCAAGGAGGGTTTGATGCCCGGGCCAGAGAGAGGCTGCTTGCTGATAGTGCCCTGCATATTGCCACCATGCCCAGCAAATTGCACATTGTAATGGCCCTGTGTTGCCGATTAAAAAGCTGTAAGGGTTTCCCTGGCCTGTGTGGCTCCGTTGGTTGGAGTGTCATCCATACACTGAAAGGTCACGGGTTCGATTTCCAGTCAGGGCACATACCCAGGTTGAGGCATGCAGGAGGCAAATGATCCATGTTTCTCTCTCCCACTCCCTAAAATCAACTAAAAAATAAATAGACAAGAAAACAACAACACAAAACTGTGAGGGTTCAGATCCATCCTCCCAAATACGCAATCTCTCCTGAGGGGTTAGGGGAGAGGGAACAAGTGGGCCTCTTCTCTTGGAGTGGTGACTTGGGACAAGGGGAACATAAGAAAACGAACATTTATAAACTCCTTTACTGTTTGCCAGCCTTGGTGCCAGGTGCTTGGCATTCATTGACCGTTTTATCCTCCTGACAGTTGT